CGGTCGGTGCTAGCCTGCTTGAATACGTTCAAGGGCAGGACAGCGGTCCCACTGATACTTTTTCAGAGGCTCCTGGGGCATATGGCAGCTACGGCGGCAGTCACGCCGCTGGGGCTGCTCCATATGAGACCGCTTCAGCACTGGCTCCATGGCCGAGTCCCGAGGTGGGCGTGGCAACGCGGCACTTACCGGGTCCAAGTTACACCGGCCTGCGGCCAAACCTTCACCCCGTGGTCAGACCTTCTGTTTCTCCGGGCAGGGGTGCCCCTAGAACAGGTCTCCAGGTATGCTGTGGTTCACACGGATGCCTCAACCACCGGCTGGGGGGCCACGTACAACGGGCTTGCAGTGTCAGGGGTTTGGACGGGGCCCCAACTGCACTGGCACATCAACTGCCTCGAGTTGCTGGCAGTGCACCTTGCCCTGAGCCGTATCAAAAGGCGCTTACGAGGCGAGCATGTACTAGTCCGCACGGACAACCGTGTGTCTGGGGCGTACATCAACCGACAAGGTGGTCTGCGCTCCCGTCGCAACTCGCCCGCCCCCTCCTCCTTTGGAGTCAGAAGCATCTGAGGTCGCTTCGTGCTGTTCACATTCCTGGGCTGCTCAACCGAGCAGCTGACGAGCTGTCTCGAGCTGCGCTTCCGGGAGAATGGCGACTCCATTCCCAGACGGTCCAGCTGATTTGGAGGCATTTCGGAGCCGCTCAGGTAGACCTGTTTGCTTCTCCAGAAATCTCTCACTGCCAGTTCTTTTACTCCCTGACCGAGGGAACACTCGGCACGGACGCACGGACGCACTGGCACACAGCTGGCCGCGGGGCCTTCGCAAGTATGCGTTTCCCCCAGTGAGCCTTCTCGCACAGACACTGTGCAAAATCCGGGAGGACGAGGAGCAAGTCTTGCTAGTGGCGCCGTATTGGCCCACTCGGACCTGGTTCCCCGAGCTAGTGCTCCTCGCGACAGCCCCTCCTTGGCCGATTCCTCTGAGGAAGGATCTACTGACTCAGAGACGGGGCACCCTTTGGCACCCGCGTCCAGACCTCTGGAAACTTCATGTCTGGTCCCTGGACGGGACGCGGAGGTTCTAAGTGACCTACCTCAAGAGGTAGTTGACACCATCACTTCAGCGAGAGCACCGTAGCTACGAGACACGCCTACGTTTTGAAGTGGAACCTGTTCGTTGAGTGGTGTTCTTCTCACCGAGAAGACCCCCCGAATATGCCAATCAGAGTTGTGCTGTCCTTTTTGCAGCAAGGGCTGGAGCGAAGGCTGTCTCCCTCCACCCTAAAAGTTTATGTCGCTGCAATTGCTGCTAACCACGACCCCGTAGAAGGGAAGTCGCTGGGGAAGCATGACCTGGTCGTCAGGTTCCTTAAGGGGGCGAGAAGGTTAAATCCTCCACGGCCGCCCTCGATACCCTCTTGGGACCTGACTCTAGTGCTCACGGCACTACAGCAGGGCCCATTTGAGCCTTTGCAGACGGTCGAGCTGAAATTTCTTTCAATGAAGACTTTGCTCCTGCTGGCATTGGCCTCCATCAAGAGGGTAGGGGACCTGCACGCATTTTCAGTCGACGATTCGTGCCTAGAGTT